CTCTGCCCTTCCCGTGCGCCCCCCCCGGGTGACTAACACGGCGTCTCCGTTTAGGGGAGCGGGACTACGGTCCCCCCATTGACCTCTGGGGCGGAGGCTGCATCATGGCAGAGATGTGGACCCGCAGCCCCATCATGCAGGGGAACACAGAGCAGCACCAGCTCACCCTCATCAGCCAGCTCTGTGGATCCATCACGCCGGAGGTGAGGGCGAGAGGGTGGGCAAGCTGCGGAGGGCCGAAGGAGAGAAGCGGTGGTGTGGGCAGGGACTGGGAGCGGGCACTCCTGGGCCTTTTCCGTGCCCTGTGCGCTGGCTGCTGCTTGCTCCCAGCACTGGAGTGTGCCTGCAGCTGGCAGGGCTACTGGGGGAGCTCCTGCGAATGCCGTTTGCCTCCTGGGAGCCGAGTGCACGGTGGGACGCTGCACTTTCGTTGCTGCTCTGTGTGAACTACAGCTGTCGTGTTACTTGTGCTCAGCCTCCTGAGGAGAAGAGGGTGAACGTGGTCTCCCAGACCTCTTTCAGGAGGGGCGAGTCGTGTCCTTGTTTTTGAGCACAGAGGGGATGCTGGCTGCTCCGAGTGTGAAAGAACAGAACGTTACCTGTAGGAATCTGTTCTAGCCTGTGTTTGGGGGTTGTCTCTCAGATAAACACCCTCTGAATTTCTGCTTAAAGAGGAGGGTTTTTTAGTTTGTGTTGAGGCCTGGTCACCTTGAAAAGCCTCTTTAATTCTGGCTTGTGACATCGGCTCAGCCCTAGTGTGAGCGCTCGGCCCTTTCTCAGCTCCTTTAAAACGGCAGCTTGTCCTGCCCTCTTGTGGGGGATCGAGCTGAGGGATCTCCTGGCCAGGGCTGTAATCTAGTGGGGGGTGTTGTGCAGGCAGCTGCAGAGGCCCGATTCCTCTGTTACCCACATTAGTGCATACACCAAAGGCGCTTTCTTTTGTATGTAAATACCTGCCGTGATCTCTCCCTGATCAGGGTGGAGGTAAGTGCTAGTGATTGCAGCAGGCTTTGCTTTCTAAGGATAAAAGGTGCCACTTGCATCCAGGTTGTTATTTAGCAGTAAGTTTTGTTGCTTTACCTTTCTGGATGTTGTAGCTGGCCTGAGCTGTGCTCTCTAGTAGCTCTTGTGGGAGAATCAGAACTCTTCGAGCATCCTTTGTGCAGTTCCCACACCAGGAGGACTCTGTCCTGACTTGTCCACGTGTCTGCAGGCTTTAGTGCACCCTTCAGTGCCTCCTCCGTGCTGTGGGAACAAGGTCTGCCGGCTTGGAGGTTATAAAATAGTATTGTTCTCTGGCAGACCTCGCCCTGGTTTGCCTGAGGGCGTTCGCATCAAAAATGGCTTGTCCTCTCTCTAACTATTTCCTCCCCACTCCCCTTTCCTGCCCCTTTCCCAGGTTTGGCCAAACGTGGACAAATACGAGCTGTACCAGAAGCTGGATCTCCCCAAGGGCCAGAAGCGCAAGGTGAAGGATCGCCTGAAGGCCTACGTCAAAGACCCCTACGCCCTCGACCTCATCGACAAGCTGCTGGTGCTGGATCCGGCCCAGCGGATCGACAGCGACGACGCGCTGAACCACGACTTCTTCTGGTCGGATCCCATGCCCTCAGACCTCAAAAACATGCTGTCCACCCACAACCAGTCCATGTTCGAGTACCTGGCCCCACCGCGCCGGAGGGGTGGGCACATGCCCCAGCAGCCGGCTAACCAAGGCAGGAACCCGGCGGCCACCAACCAGACTGAATTCGACAGGGTGTTTTGAGCGGGGGCTTCCCCGGTGAGGTCCCAGTGGGGCTGCTCCAGTGGTTGCATTAACAGGGGATGTCCTGGCGTGGTCTTTCCATCTGGGAAAGGACTTTCTTCTCTTCGAGGCAAAGTGCCTGCTGGCTTTCACCGAACTCTGCCGTCTCCTCTCATCGTGCAGCAGCTCGGCCACCGCGGAGCTGCGTGACTGGGGAGGTGACACCTGCGAGCCTGGGGTTGTGTCCCTGCAGTTTTGTCACAGAGCCCGTGTACCCCCTGCAGCAGCCTGCGTTGGTTACAGTAATCTTGCGGATCAATCGTTACGGACCTGGTGATGGAGAAAGTGGCTCGGTCAGTGCTGGGGCTCTCAACAAATGGTGCTGTGACTGGCAGGACTGGGAGTAGCTGCCCTGGACCAAACTGGGCCCTGCTGGGAGATGTCTCTGCTCTCTCGGTCGGTGATAACTCCTGCATGGCATATCCTTTGAACACTGAAGCGTTGATGTAGGACGAGGCAGGTGCTTCTGAGTACGGCAGAGGTGTCCTGGGGAAGGCAGAGTCGCTCTAGGCAGCATGACGACCTCTCGCTGGAGTTCAGGCTCTAACCTAGAGAGGGGCTTACTGGGAGAGCCAGAGCGGGGGCTGGCAGAGCTGGGTGCTCCACGCAGCCAGGATTTACAGTGGGAAGCGTTGCTCTCTCTAACCGCGCAGCGTCCACGCTTCCTTCGTTGCCAACGGCCATTGGGAGCCGTGTTGCGCCTGCCGTGTGCCTGCCCCGTGGCGCTGGCTGTGCTGGGAGCTGGGTGGGGAAGGGAGCTGCGAGGGGGGCGAGACTTGCTGCCCACAGGGGTTTCACGATGGCGTGGCGGTGCTGGGCACGCTGCCGGGAGCAGGGGGCGACTCTTGGAAACGCTCCGCTCCTCTGTCCCAGAGCTCTTTGCCCCAGCCTAGAGCAAGACCGCTGCCTTCCCCACCTGCAGCGACCAGCCCGATGCTCCGTGGGGGCACACGCCTTCGGCCAGCGCTCGGGGCCAGCGCTCGGGGCCAGCTCATGCAGAGCGAGCGCTCCCCCACAGCCCCTGCACCAGAGCCGCTCGCCCAACGCTTCGTCTTCCAGCGGCCGTTTTCTCCGCGAGGCCCGGGGATCCCGAGATAAGGTGTGGGACGTGCAGCGGGCGATAACCTTTGGCAGGCGGGGGGTTGTCCGTTAACTAGGCTGATGGCAAAAGCCACGTCAGTAGCGTACGGTCCGAGGGGAGCGAGCGGGAGTGAGCGGGGCCGTTTTCGGGACACAAAGCGAGGATGATAAAGGACACGTACAAGGTAAATCTCTCGGTGCGGGGCTGTGAAACGGTGTCTCGTTTGGGGGGGGACGTGGTTTCTTTGTTAAAAAATGGAGGTGGTTGCCAGCAAGAAGCCAGAGAGATGCCTTCTGCCGGGGGTGAATAAACACGTTCTGTCCCAGACGGCTGGGGTTAACCTCGTGTCGCTCTTTCGCCGAAGCGGAGGAAGGCGCTGGAGTGCCGTGAAGCGGCACCTCTGTCATCCCCGGGGAGGGGCGTTCGCGTTGGGGTTCGGACACCGTAACGCTCCCGCCCCGGTGGCGGCTCGGTGGGAGGAGG